ATGAGCTCTTCCAGCATGGCATTACCTGTACAAAAGGAATTCAGTTAGTTCCTCCATTATATCACTACATATACAAGAGGAAACCAATGAGCTCTTCCAGCATGTCATCTCATGCACAAGAGGAAATCAATGAGTTCCTCCAGTATGTCGTTACCTGTACAAGAGGTACTAGTAATCAGAGTTCTTCAAGCATGTCATTACATGTAGAAGAAGAAATAAATGAGCTCTTTCAGAATGTCATTACCAGTACTAGAGGAAATTAATGAGCTCTTCCAGTATGTCATTACATGTACAAGAAGAAATCAATTACATGTAGCTCTCCCAGTTTGTCATTACATGTACAAGAGTAAAGCAAAGAGCTCTTCCAGTATGTCATTACATGAAGAGAAATCAATGAGCTCTTCCAGTACGTTATTACATGTACAAGAGGAAACCAATGAGCTCTTCAAGTCTGTCATTTAAATCAATGAGCTCTCCAAGTTTGTCATTAAATGTAAAAGAGGAAACCAAAGGGTTCTTTCAGTATGTCATTACATGTACAAGAGGAAACTAATGAGCTCTTTCAGTATGTCATTACATGTACAAGAGGAAATCAATGGCATCTTCCAGTATGTCAAAGCATGTACAAGGGAAAATCAATGAACTCTTCCCAGTAAATCAATAAATGTTCAAGTAGTGTGAATGTAATCATGTAAAACAGCACATATCAGCTATCTTGGATAAACGTGTTGATTTTTTTTTTATGGATTTGGCTATTTGTACAGGTCCTTTTTGGTTATAAAGCTATTTGACTGTTTCGGTTCTTATACATCCTTGGCTTTCAAATGTTGGGCTTTGAGCGTTTCTGATGAAGGTAAATCCAGAAAAGGGCTTCGGATGCGTGAAATTTATAAAGTGTTTTCATTTTTTAAATAAATTTGATCTTAAAAGCTTTAAAAGAGTGAAATGTATTATTTGTTTTGAGCAACTGAAAATTTTCTTTTAATTGGTGTAATGGATAGGCCTGCCTGATTAAATATAAACTAGAGCTGTCCACATAGTGGGACTTATACACCCTACATGCATTTTAGTTGCTGCTGTGAAATTCAGTATTGAGACTTACATTTTGAGATAGTTGGTTTTCAGCATAAGATTCAAGGGCCAAGGTCATAGTAACATGATTTTGGTATTTGACACATCCCCATCCCATGCATATGATGCTTCTGCATACAAAGTTTTGTCATTATAAGTGCCAGGGCCGTAACTAGCCTCTGTTAAACCTGAGGCTAAATTATTCGCCTCGCTCCGCTTGGCCAAAAAAATTTCCGGCGAGGGGTCTGGGTGCCACTCAAGGCCCTCAGAAGCTCTAAAAAAATGACGCAAAATCGTACATTCTGAGCGTTTCCCGGACCTTTTCTTAATCTGAAACGCAAGTTTTGTTTTAATTATTTTTTTGACAATATTCTGGTCTCAAAGCAAAATATATAGATTCAGTGTAAGACTTTTAGTTTTTAGGGACAACATCAAAAGACCGATATGAAGGATAAAGCAAAAATCGTAATTCACATAGTTAAGTGTGTGGCTGCTGTTTTTTTGTTTTGTTTTTTTTTTTTGTTATTGAGTTTCTGCTTGTAGGAAAAACGTATTATGCCTGTCAATTATGTTCTTTTCAAATTAAGCTAAGAAGGGGCTGATTATCATTAATATAACTATGTGAATTCAGTTTTTATAACACATTTCAATTACAACTTAATGTAGTTCCTAACTGGGGTAGAAAGGGTACACTCAGGGTAGACTTAGGAAAACTGTTCTTAAAAGACCTCATTGCTACATTTTTGTGCTGTTTTAATATGTATATCGGGCGATTAATGTCGGATCTGCCTGTTCTGGTCTTGTATTGCGTTTAGACTTTGGTGTAATTTTTTTATGACTTTGTAATTTATTCACAGTTACTTTAAGTACCGCTTAATTCGACGCTAGTGGCCGTCTTGACATTGTTGTAAGGTATGAATGATTCGTTCATTGTTGAAGACCCTCCAGCGACTGTCAAGATGAAGAACAGGAACAAAAGCCCTGTTCATTGATAATTCGTATTTTTTCCATGCACATTTACTCCATATCCCTTTATTTTCTATTAAAGGACCTGAACACGGCTTAATGCAAGTTTACGCCCTTCAATGTAAAAGGTCATATGGCAATACATTATTTTTGTTTTTAAATGATTTGATTCCAGGAGATTGGTTGTCTCACTTTAATTTAACCCATGTCATCTTTTTAGTTTAATAGAAAAGAGAGCCAGTTTTGTATTCGTTAATATAAAGTATAATTTTCCATGAAAAAACGACCAATTTTTCTATGTCCGGTAGCTTCGTATCTTCTCAAAACATTTTCTCAAACAATATCTGGACATCGGTGGAGATCTAACATTGCCAAACCACACAACCGTTCACCCGTCATTACCGACCACTTCGACTATGCTATTTCGATATTTTTTATTTTTCATTATCAACTTTTCATAGACTAACCGATACATATATTTAAAATTTAAAGTAGTTTTTAAAATTAGAAGAAAGGTCCTTAAATATAATAAAACTCAAGTTTTTAAAACAAAATTACTAATTTACAAATGAAATTCAACGCTCAGACAATAGTCATGAAGAAGGGCAATCAATGAACAAAAGACAAACCCGTGAACAGATAAGACACATAACAACAAATTATAGACAATCAACACTGAAAACTAAAATAAATGAGAAACATGGATCCGAAAAAACAGGGGCGACGTCAGAGGGTGAACAGAGCTTGCTTCTTGCAAGTCACTCGCCGTGAAAACAATTTAATATGAAGACAAGCTTTTTGTTTCAACTTATTGATTTTTTTTATATTTCCAACATGAGGCATTTGCCTCATTTGCCTCAATGTAGTTACGGCCCTGAGTGCTATAGTTCAAAAGGTATGTACCCTAAATAAATCAGATAATGCTTTACTATCACATGGACACACGGACTAGGAAGGACGGATGGACAGACTATTGTTAATTTCCTTTTTATGGTGATGTTCCATTGGGATCATCTTACGGTATTTAAATATCCCTAATGGTTCGTTATCACCTTGTCTGTAGTAACGTTTTGGATTTCAATGAACATAATCTATGTATGACTGGTAGAATATTAAGTCAAGGATCTCATTATCACAATTTCGTAAAACCTTTACTTCATAGATACATAGATTTGGTTTGGAAGTTTGCCTGTAACTGGAGAAAACTTATTCCAAACGGGATTGCACATCCAAATTTATTACTGTGATGCTATTTATAGAGCCCGTAAATTTATTGATCCTTTAAATTTATTCTAAAAGGTTACCAATTCAGCACTGTTGTGAGACCTTTGAATATTGTTTTTATCGGTATAAATATTGATTTTGTTTGAATCCAACTAAATATTGTTGTTATACACATACATGCATGTTCATTCAAGGTCCTGCTATCTGTCGATGCTTATATTTTGGCATTGCACAAGGTCATGTTTTTCTCATTCTATTAATGACATCTTTACACTAAATCCATTGGATGTGTAGAGATTGATATTGAAGTTTTAGATAAGTTTTTTATAATTAGTTATGGGCTTTGAACTAGCTTTCAGTAACTGTGAGTACTAATTTGTGTCTTTTGAGTTTTCTTAGTGGTTTGTATCAATCTGATGAGTTAAGCTCTTTCCACTGATTTTTATAGTTAGTTCTTATGCTATACTGTTACACCTCTGTTCCAGGTTAGGGAGAGGGTTTGGCACCAGCAAACATGTTTAATCCCAACACATTCTGTATGTGCCTCTGTCGGGAGTCTGAAATTCAGTATTTGTAGCTTGTTGCTGTACATCATATTTTTTTAAAAGTTTCTTGTTTTGTACATAAATCAGACTGTTGGTTTTCTTGTTTGACTTGTTTTAAATTTGTCAATTCGCAGCCTTTTACACCTTACTATAATTATACCCCAAAACCTTCTTTGCAGGGGGTACATTGTATAATTACTACCAACTTGGTGTATACGAATACAAAACAATTTTCTAGATCAATTAGAATTAGTTATGTGGGGGAAGAGTAGATGTCTATTATGTCTATTTTTCTCATACATCGAAACTGAATGTGCATTGGGAGACAGTCAGATATAGAATCATATAACTGTCCACGTTTTGGTGATTCCTTGTAGTTTTGGAAATTAGATGCTTATCTCTCGAAGGAATTGTCATGTGGGACTACTAAAGTGAAGAAATTCATCATGAAATCACATGCATGACAAAAAGTGGTTTCTGTACTAGCACAACCAAAAATTTAATTTCAACAAATTGAATGTATTAAAGACTCCTATAATGGCTTTCTTGGCATGGAAGGCTGCTGTTGGCTACTGAACTAAAGGGGTTTCAAAAATTAAAACAATGTATCATATTATATTATGAGCAAGTTTTTAATGAGAAGTGTTGCTAAATTTGTAGTTTTCCCAAGTAATATTTGTGGATTATTTTTTTGTCTTTTATTGTCTTGGTGTTTTCTTCCATATTTAATTGAGGATTTTTATTGCCCTTGGTATCTTCCTTTTCCCCCTAAAATAACGACTTTCCTCTACTGTGACTGAAATAGCATTTTTTATTTGATTGCAGAAAAAAACTTACCCATAGTATTAGTGATAACACTGATTGCACACGAAACTTGTAAATTCATTAATCTTCTGAATTTTTGTTATCTGTGGGATATTTACTGGTTATTTTCAGTAAGACACTAAAACAAGTCAAGTAAAACTGAAATGAGAATTAATCTAATATTCCATTTGCATCCTCAAGTCAACCAATGCAAGCCAACCTCAATTTTCCTACAAAAACTCTGATGTGGCTAAACAAAATCTTGAATTTCTAAATATCAGCAACACATACCTTTCAATTAAGTTTAATGTGTAAGTCGTGATTCAGGGTGTTGTATTTATGAAATTTGGGATCGCTAGACACCATTGCCAATAAATAACAAAACACATCAATGTAACACCTTTATTCCAATTGCATACAATTTCCTGGACATAAACAATAGGAAATTATAAAATGATTTTTTTGTAATTTTTCATTCAAAAATATTAATTAAATATGTCAATACTTGTGTAAACATTCACAATTATTCCCTTTAGGTTGGATTCAATAACTAATATAATGCTGAGTATACATACATATATTTCATGCACCATACATGGATATGAAATAAATTCTTCAGGTAAAAGCATTAATCCCAGAATTGATGGTAAAAAAATATCTCTATATATATATAATAGTTTTTCTATCTGCAGGTTTGAATATCATTTTGGATACAGATGTTTGTAAAGATATGAAGATATACATGTATATTTGAATATGTTATTGCATTTACAGTAATTTATAAAAATAAATAATTTCTTTAGAAACAATATTTCTTGATCAAAAGGCAATTTTAATTTGCTTATGAACTTTTTTTATACACATCTGTAAAATGTTTGAAATATTCTGGACATAAATATAATGGATATTTTATGTTTCTTTGGCAATTTAAATAAATTTTGAAGCAAATAAGTCATTTATTTTTATTCTGCAAATTGATAATTTTAATTGGATGGTGAACTAAAAATGCATTCTGTAAGGTGCTTGTATAAATGCAACATTTTTTATCTGAATTTCTATAGTAAACATTGCATTATTTGAATAAAAATTTCAGAAAAACCCTGATAAAATAGGTATAATGTATTAAAAACTTATTCCTGTCGCTAGCTGTCATGTTTGGATATCACATTTAGGGATGTAAACTTCTTTTCAAATAATTAATTACTTCACATACAAGTTACACCAAAAAAAGAAAGCAACGTCAATACAGCAAATTTACAATATGAGATCAAATAATGAGAATCAGATGCAAGTTACCTACCTTTAATTCGAGGGAGGTCAGAAAAATTATTTTAGCCAAATGAAAATGTAGATCAAATTAAAATGTCTAGATTACTTTGTTCAGTAGGTAACTAACTTTTCTCACTGCACATTTCATAAATTCATTTTGTACATTAAAATGGTGATATTATAAAAGTAAGACAAATTTTGAAGTTGTTTTTCATGTTCAAGAAAATCTGTATCGAAAATGATTCACTAATGTAAGTATTGTTGAAAAAAATATATATTAATAAAAACTAAGAAAAAACTTTCTTAATAAACATGAAACAATAAAATCCAACATATCAAAAGTAAACAACATATCAGCAACAAAAATATTCTACTAACAAGATTTAATCTGAAACCATCTTGTTTCGTTAATGAATATTATTGGTGCTGTTTTCACCTAATAAAAAATAAACATTGGCACTTTTTTCTGAAGTAAAACAATATCGGATATCATTTTTAACTAAGAAATTGTATAAACCCTTGATTGCATAACAATTTTGAAACTAGAATCCTATTAAATTTTCAAATACAGTACAAAGTCAACTACTGAAAACCTTCCTTCAAATTTTAATCTTGAAGTTGAATAGAATTTTTTCAAGCACAAACAGAATTATCTTTATATCTTTTGAATTCATCAGCTGTGGAAGTACTTCTTTAACTTCTGAAGTGTTTCAGTCTTTTAACAGAATGACACACTATCATTTTTCTTTTTATGATTTACATCTGGATTTCTAATAAAACATGTATAAAATATACCCTGAATTTGTTGTAAATCCCTACAGTGCCAATCAAAAACATTCTTTTTTTTACCTACTCCTATCATATATAAGATCAGTCCTCAACACTGCACTGAAGCAATCATAAAAACTTAATATTACTCATTTCCCAGCTATTGTATTGTATATAAATGCTTAACACACTTGTGCATTATATTATAGTGGGTCTCAGTCTAAAGCAAGTTAAACTTCCCTGCAATAGCAGGATATAAGAAATAATTTCTGGATTAACTTGAATTTAAAATTTTAAGGTGAAGATTATTTGCTGTCTTAATAGTTTATAAAAGTTAACATATGGCAAGTTTTGAGTGGCTTTAAAATTCCACAGTGATATAAAAATTAACAAAATACTTTTTATTAAGTATTGCATTTCTTATTTTAATATTTGTCTGTAAATGGGACAAAATTTTGTCTTTTCTCTTTTTTGTTTCCTCAAATGAGGCAGTACCTATATATTTTTTTTACCTTAAGAACATGGCAAAAATGCATACATGTAGATCAGAAAAATATTGAGGTTGCTGAATATAACAATACATGTGAAAAATACAGTGTATATATACATGGAATGAATACTGTTAAAAGCTAAATAGAATCCTGATATGGTCCATGAAAAATATCACATCAGTATAGTAAATACCTAAACATATAACAAAATAGGTCCAAACATGCTATTCTTTTAATCTCAGAACATTTGTGGTAGTAATCAAGTGCTTTAAAGAAATCTGTTTACAGGTCAGCACTTACCAAATTGACAGCAGATAATAAAATTAGTTTTGGTTTCAAAGAAATAAAATATGACATTATTGGTAAATTTGAGTTTTATAAGTCTTGCAATGACATTATTATATTTTATTGAGAAAAAAAATGTTGGAATCCTCAAATAGTCCACATTTGGTATCAATGTGCACAAAAACAGTTTATTGAAAATTTAGTAGCTGTTTGACCTCAATTTTATAAGTTTTAGAATAGCATGTTTAGAACAGCTTACCTCTGAGCAATTTATCCAACATTGTAAATCTACCTTGAAGTTGATTCAAAGCTGAAAACATTTCAGCCTGTATGGTGTTTCCCTGCAAATCTTCCTTTTTTAATTTTTACAAGACTGTTTTTCATGTGCAATGTGTACATAAATATTTACTTCAAATGTTAATTGGGATGTGCAATATATGTACAATTCAGCATAGTATTAGTTGTACATCTATATATGTTTATATATATACAGCAACCAGCCAGGAATAATGTGCAGAGAAAAAAGTAAATGTATAATATAATTAAACATGAATCAACTTGTATATAATTGCAAAAGTCATTTACAAAATTAAACAAAAAACTAGGAATGACAAAAAATAAAAGCACATTGTTATAAATTGTTTTTAAGATTGGATTATACTTGTAAACTTAAATTTGAATTTCCCTAAAACAGGTAATTATTTCCTGGATAAATAAATAATTGATTAAAACTTCAAATCAACCATTATATTGCAACATTAGCATTTAGATTTTCATTTGTTTGTCGGTGTGCTTCTGAAAATATACAGGTATATAAACACCATGCTGTCAAGTTTCCAGTTACTTTTCTATTTTGCTTAACAATCACTAGAAGGTTAAAATGACTTTTTGCCAAAGAAAACCAAAGGTGCTTCTGCCAAAAACTTCAATCATTTTCAGAATGCAAGTTCAACAAGATATCACGACTATCCTTCTAGGAGGAATGGTTGATATATATAAATATATATATATAACATTTTGAATTGTTTATTCGAATGTATCACTAGGTTTACTTTAAAATAACATAATTTAGTTAAAATCTCTTCTATTACTGATAAAACCGACATGAAATTGGTCAATGGTGGATTTGTCTCACATCTTATTTTTATACTACTGCAAATGATACCCACTTTTGTATTTCAAATAATATTTCAAATAATATTCAATAACCTTTTAAGTTTAGAAAGAAATAAATTTAATTTGAATGTTACAGATGAATCCCTAAAATTTTGACAGATTTTAGTTTTAGTACAAGCTAAAAATAAATCTTACATCGATACTATATGCCTGTTAAGTTTATGCAAATAAAAAATTGAAAAGTAACTGGAACTACTCTAACAAAACACACAATCTGATCATGGTTGTGTATTGATTAAAATTTCATACTGATAATTAAAAGTTAACAGTGGGGTGAAATGAAAAACACACATTGCAAATTATGATTAAACATATATTTTTTTGTATATGAAAAGTGTAATTAATAGTAAAGTTTTTTCAAAAATAATAAAGAAAAATAATAATACCAAAAAACAAAAGTAAAACACTTTTGTTCTCAAGTATATATAAATATATATATCTTGCCCAAGCATTTGAAAATCTGCACTAAATACTGATTAACAAGCTATTAAAAACATAACCAACCAAAAATATTAATAAACCTGCTTCATCTAGATCAACGAATCAACAAAAAAAAATTAATAAAGTTATTAAGTGAACATATAAGTGGACTTAACACGGATTAATTAAACTCAAAATTAATGACTAAAGCAAAATGTAATAAAACAGAAAAGTTGCTATAAATACAAGACTAAAATAAAATGAATTATAATAATAATAATCTGTTTAGGGAAATTTGTTGAAAAACATATGTAAATATGTAACATTACAATACAAGGAAAATAAGCACCAATTTAATATATGCTAACTGTACAACATAATTCCCATTCCCCCCAAAAGACTTACTACTGATATTAACAAGTCTCTCTTCCAAGATTTTGTAGCAAAACAAGACTGTTACAGTAATTTCTGCTGCTAATTATTTACTATCTACTTAAACATCATACAAAAAAACAATAAAATTTTGATCACATGTGAATTTGAGACAGAAAAATACATGTATTTACAAACTTATACAATATCATTTAGGTGCACTTGAACACAGTATAAAATAGAATATACCTATTATGCAGAACTGCCATCTAGATTTAAAGGAGTATTGAAAAATCAACATAAATTATAATGTACTTTATTCTTAACCAGCTTGTTGGGCAAGACCTTAAAAAACAAAAATAAGTTTTCTCAAATTACTATACTTAGATGAAATAACTCTGCAATAGTTGCAGAAAAAAGTTACTTCACGGTCAGACATTTATTGTATAGCCTAGTGTCCTAGGCAGATAAACCTATCATTTGTCTGCAAACTTTATTTTATATTTTCCGCTATACAAAATATATCTGAACAGAACCATGCATTGGTATTTTTGAATGAACTACTGTCCAAATAGTGATAATTGAACTGCCATGATTGTTTTCTTTAGAAATTAATTATCAAGTTTCTTTAAAAAGTAAAATAACAAAAATACAAACTCCAATGAAAATTCAAATTGGAAAGTCCCTTATCATAGATACTTCTCCAAAAGAATGTGGTATTTTGGAGTTGGTGCATTTATCTGCTTAGAATCAGAAACCTGTAAGAATTTGGGATGATACATCTGACTGCAACTTTGTTTACACATTTGAATTATGATGACTAGTCTCATTAACTTTAGAATCACAATTTAGGATATAAACAAATTTAAATGAAAGATTTCATTCCTAGGCAATAGCTTTGTATTATAAAATTTCAATACAACAAGATACAGAAATTTTGAGTTATCATTAGGCATATTCCTAGTTATAATTATTTTCCATTATTCCCATATAAAAGTCCCACAACTGACAAATTAGAAAACCCTTTACATTGTGTAATATAACAGATGTGCTAGGGGCACAAAGAACACCTGTTAAATACATGGAAATTGTTCAAAGAATTAATTGCTTTATCGAAAAAGGCATTAAATCAGAAGTCAGAAAATGGCCATGCAGGAACACTAGCTGGAAGATTTCTTTTAGTAGAAGTTATTTTATCCAAACATACTAGAATTAGTAAGCAACATGTGGGAAAATTGCTCAATTCTGATGTTTCAAGCCTCTGACCTCTGGAATAACATGCAAGAAAATTTTCAAAATTGAAAAAAAGAGGCTTACTTTAAACTATCCCCAAAACAGTGTAATATTTCAAGTAAATCCATCAAAGCATACTTCAGTTGACTTTAATCAGACAGTTTCAGAACTACCAAAAACAAACAAAAATAATTTCAATATTGAAAGGGAGCTTAGTTCACTAATCTGAACATAATAAAAATTTTATTTTTTAAATCAATCCAAGCTTTAGTGAATGCAGTGATATGTGATAAAATGCCTTAAATCTGACGGTTAAGTTCACAACTCTGAAACGACCAAATCAAAAATTTTCAAATGGATATTTCTTCCATCTATCTAAATATTTCATATCAGCTTTCATGAAATTTGATGAAAGCATTCTCTAGCCTTTATAGGACTTGTGGACGGACAATGGTATCTATATCAAAAACATCCCATCTATGACCGGCATGAAAAATTAGATCCCTTAAAGAAAACTAGACTTTTGAGATATGACTTGTATACTCAAATTTTCAATGATTCAATTCCTGAAACTATTGAATAACAATTCCACAAGGTCTCCAGATTAAAAAAATGTAAAAATTTCACAAGATTGGAAAAAGTCAATTTGAGTTATCACATAATATGTACCAATGGACAGAGGGACAACAATCTACTGTAATACATCCACTGACAGGCCTATAAAATCTAAAGTCTTTCATAATAGCTAAACTGCAACTGTAAAGCAAGCTTCTAAACAAATATTGTTTTAATATTTTAAAATGAGGACATTATTTTCTGATTGAAACTGCTTAAATCTCCACTCTGTTTTTATTTCTAGGGAAAAACTGGAGCAAGACAACTAGCAAATGTTTTTGTACTTAATGTAGTTTCATCCGGGTTAAAAAAAAATCTCGCATATAAAACAACAGAAGTCTCCTTCTCAGTGCTTGGTAAGTTCTACAGGCAAAACAAAAGCTAATTTATAAAATTTCTCCTGTAACAGTCTTGTTCTGGTATTAATAAAAGATGGCACTCAAAGTAAAAAAAAATAAAATTGCTTCATAGGATCATCAGCCATACAAAGTTTACTTCCACATAAAATATAAAGGATGTGAAAATGAACCATGTAAATTACCCTAAACCCTATAGTTGTACATCTTATCTATGAAAGATTCTTGGCATAGACATTCAACTTATTCACAGTAACATTTTAACAATTAAGAAAAAAAAAATGAACAATCAAAATATTTTCTAAATGCAAACAGTCAAAATTTGAAAGCATTGAAATATTTAAAAATATTTTCAAAACATCATATATTTTTATACATTTTTTTGTTGAGGTTATTCAAATCAGTAAATAACATTCTTTAATAGGTTAATCTCTTGTACCCATTGAAAATTTTACACAAATAAAATAACAACAGTGTTTTGGATAACCTCAAATATTATTTTATTATTTTTTTTATTTTTTTTTCAATACATTTTTCTAACATTGGAACATGAAAACATATTTTAACGGACTAAAATCAGTCTGTGTTAATTATGAATAATGAAAAGCTCGTTGTAACCACTAAAACTAGATTGTCATTATAATGAAAAGTGAAACAATGAGACTAAATAAGTAGCTTTTAAAAATGGACTCAAAAGGGAGCCTCATTTTTAATAGTTTCTTTTCCAACTTTTCCAGAAAAAAGAAAAAATATACTGAATAAAATATACATTATTAGAATACATAAAGAAATATTTCTGTAAATGAAATGTATATAATCCTAGACACTAGCCCCTATACATACTTTTATTTGTTTGATTTTTTTTTAAATAGTGTAACTGCAAAGTACATTTACACCAACAATTTTTTTTGCAGCATGCTATAGATGGTGGGTAAGACATTTCTACAATTTGTTAATGAATGATCAACGAAAAATGACTTATGAGCAATCTGGTTCTAAACAATAAAATATAAGAACATGTTTTAAAAAATACAACTAATAATAATACAATGTAAGTGTAAATATATAGATATATATATCTTTTTAATATGTGTAAATGATCAACATCACCAGTCACAAAATATGATATCAATTTGTAAAGCCATCAATTAGAATGAACACAGAAAAAAATAATTAAAAATCAAATCCCTTTGTAAGGCACAGCAAAAACTGGTCATGTTAAATATAATCTGAGTATGTGACTAGAGTTAATACAAAAACACTTCTGCATAAAAATTCTACAGCATTCAAATTTTTATGCATCTTTTTTGCACTTATATTCTATGGTAAAAATTTCATTATAAAGCATGCACTACATGCAAAGATTAACTTTTCACTTGATTTTTAAGTGACATTTCATCTTTTGAATTGTATTCTGAATGTATGGTCAATCAAAAATAAATAAAAAAATTCCTGAGAATAAAAATTTCTTGTCTTGCAATATCTGACAAACATTTTATGTTATCAAATAGGATCTACATCAATGAGATAATCACATTTAACGTAAATTTTGACTAATCAGAGTCTCTTACTTATAACATCAATGCATATGTACAATTATCTGTTCCTTTCACAATTTGAATTAAACATTATTTTCAGGTGTAGGAATTCATTTTATGCATATTTTTTGTATAACCAAGAATTAATCAGTTTAAAACAGTAAAAATGACAAGTAAGAGACCCTGTTTTTTTCAAACTTATTTTAATCATCTAAAATATTAGTATATTTTAATATCATTAAATCAGAAGCTTAGCTCTTGGATAAAAAATAGCATAGATGGTAATTTGACTTTTATTTTCATTATTGGATAACCACCTACCACTACTACAGATAGTCCATTTTAAATGTATATTAATATACAAGTTGCATTATGATAAGTAAACAACATTTGCTATAAAATAAAATTATGTAAATTCTTATTAGTATTAATCTGTGTATAAAAATTGCAACTAAAAGAAAAACAAAGAAAAAAATAAAGTATATTAACACAGTGGCTACAACAAGGCCCTGTATAGCCCTTTTATAATATGTATATAAAATGTATATAAATGACCACCAAGGTGTATCTTTAAATACAAGAAGCTTTAACTGCTTTCCATATTTTCAAAAGCACTGCTAAACAGTAAAATAAACTAAGCACTTTTTAACACATGTATTTTCAAAAATATTCTTTTTTTTGTACATACTCTTGCTTCTTCCCCATTGATCTGTTTAAACTATGTATAAGGTATTAAGTACCAGCACATGGTGGTTGTTCTTAGCAAGAGTGACAACGTATCCTTCTGATGTTATCTTTAATCCACAGCAACGGCTCACTTTCACATAAGGACATTCAAACTCTCCAATCAATGATCCATCCCTCTGGAATACAGCGACATGAAATCTGTTTCCATGGCTATCTCCAATCAAAACATCTCCAGCATCACTGATATCAATACCATTAGGGTAATTTGTGATGTTCTCACATCCAATTCTCCGGATGAAATGACCTTCTTCATTGAAAACAACAACACAATGACCCTACAACATAAAATATTGTCATGTTGCATTCCCTATTTTTATGTAAATACCAGAGATCAAGGTTTGTACAAGTAATACACATTAATGTGTCTAAAAACTGTTGCAATGTTACCACATTAGATCATTGTGACGTTAAATTTATCACTTACACCAATCAAGGAAAATCTTTATTTTACCCATGTACTGTTAGATCATCACTGATTTGTTGTTTTTGTGCTATGATTGGTTCCAAGTACCACCTTGCAGTATAAAAAGGGTGGAAAGCAACAGTCTCAAAAACAATTATCCCCTATATAGTAGAAGACTTGAGAGGTTTAAGTCAGAAAGGAAATAAAAATATCTTTGTATTCAAGGAATAGCAAACATGTAGGTGTGTACTAATTGCACAAAAATTATAGTGCTTTACATTTAGGTGTAGTTCTCCATTATTAGGTTGTACCTCGTGCAATGTTGGTTTTCCTCCTAAGAATAGTTTACAGTTGAAATGCGAGTTTGAAGGCTGGTTTTTTCTTTCATATCAAAATGTTTATAACTGTTTTTTACAGGTCTTTTAACATTGTAAGATAGGGGAGTGTCTGTAATGTCATTTAGTCATCTTTGCTGAAATTTGTTTTGAAATATTTTGGAAAAAATTTGTTCCCCCAGAATGCTACTCACATAGTGTAAATTAACATGTTCATTGCCATTCCTCGAAGGCCCTGCTGAATCTTATTAAATATTTCTTCCATGTTTTACATTGATGACTGTTTTCAATAATTTAATAACATATACATTACAACTCTACATTGTCTTTGTACTTTGTAAGTTATATCCCTAATTCCACTGTTTCAGCTTTCAATCTGGAGAACTGACAGACCCTCTTATATATATTGCCATAAGCTTAGTTATGTTTATGCCACTTGAAACATTCCACGTACTGTCTTACAAATCCTCATAGGGATTGATGTATAGTCTATTGTATCCTGACCCTCTATTTATATAAATAGGGGTCATGCTCCTTAGTCTACAGCATCATAAATATCAATGATTTCGACAACCAAATAATGGTCCAGGAAAACTTTGCTTCAAATTGCCCAAATGGTTAACATGTTCCTGAAAAATTACCAATAATGTTCTCTTTATGACTAAGACTTATGTATAACAAACCATTATTTGAAAACTAAACAAAATGCTATAAAAACAAAGAGTGTATTTGATATTTAGAATTACCTTAAAATCACAGACAAAATAGTCTTTCCCACTGATAGCTATATCTGATGGCTCTCTCATGTAATCACTACAATCAAACCACTTAAGAAGGTCTCCAGCCTCAGTTATACAGAATACAGTAGGAGAAACGCTATCAACTGCTACTATGTGTCCTACAATTACACATATACAGTCATATCAACACAGCTGGTAACTATATAATATAGGCTATGTGATTAATATTTCTTAATTTAGTAAAATTCTTAATAATTCTTTGAACGAATATTTCTTTTAATGATTTATTTTCTATTTTCCAAAAATAAAAAGATTTGTAAAAAATTATTTACAATTATTCACATTTGTTTTACTGCTTCCAAATACTTGATATTTCTAAAGACTTGTGATCAACTAGACCATGTACAATCAACAAGTCTTCTTGGAAATAAAAAATCAAGAAATACCTTGTTGGGTAATAGCTAAACCAGCAACAATGTCTATATATCTTATGGCAATTTTCTTCACAAAATGACCATTTTTGGTGAAGATCTGCATTCTTGATCTTTCATTTCCACGGTCACAGACAACAAACTTTCCAGAATTTCTCATCACTGCCACTTTTCTTGGATACCACAGCTGTCCTTCCTCTCTCCCTACAAATATATATGCCTCTGTGTTAACATTATTAGATCTTTTAGAGCAAAGCCCTCTCCCTTGGCATTTGCCTCAACATGTAATGCTGGGATTACCACTCTTGCAAGAAAAACTTATTCTACCAGCAATCACATAGTTGTTTTGGAAAATTAAAATAAAGCTTACAATTCTAATGTGTAAAAAGCAAATGTTTCTGCTTTCCCATGTCTAATAAAAATTTAGAATTTAGAATTTAAAAGTGTGACTTCAGGTTCTACCTGTCTCAACTGATTACTTTTAACTATCACTGTCTCAACTGATTACTTTTAACTATCATAAGTAGGTCAATAGTTGTTGAACAGTCCAACAGTGTGTAACTCAAGAGTTCTTGAGAAGTGTTAGTACAGATCATTTGACTGATAAGAATTTTAAATGTCTGGCATGTGTGGTTACGTAATATATCAGTCAAAATCTTAGACAAAACTAAGAACTTTTCAATAGAATTATTGAAATAAGACCGATGAAAATGCATTTTGGACTGACAAATTCAAAGTGTCAGTACAAATGTCCCATAAGACATTTTCAAACAGGAAGCAACTGCCAGCAGATCTGAAAATCAACAATACTTTTTATATGCTTCCAAAGACCATTCATTTCAAAATTGTTGAGTCTGAGTAAACCAAGAAGATTTCTACTATAAGGAAACCAAATTTTAATATATTAGCTTGAAAATTCAATAAATTACCTGGAATTCCAAACTGATACTGAAATTCACCAGTTTTCTCAAAACACTGAATTCTGTGGTTGTTAGTATCTGCCACTACAATGTTTTCTTCCTGTCCAAGACAAAATCCATGTGGTGAATTGAACTGTCCTTTTCCAGGTCCAAGCTGTCCAAATTTACACCTGCAATAAATATTCCAGTATTTTTATTTGATAGGTATTAAACTTCACACAAATAAATACGATTTTGGTAACAAATTTCTACTTGATTACCCAGTAATAGTGTTCAACCTTAAACAAGTCAATTGATTGATTGGTGTTTAACGCCGCTTTCAGCACTGTTGGCTTTATTCTGGCAGCCAGTTTTTATTGGTGGAAGAAGCCAGAGTGCCTTGAGAGAACCCAACCTTCAGCAGAAAAACTCATCTGACCTAATCACAAACTAATACATGTAAACTAAGCAAAAGTTTCAAAGTCAATAGACCATGACTGAGGGGTAAGGACCAAATATTCTCCTGGAAATAAGATGTGCTAATGCTTATACAACTGCATACCAATTATCATTGACATACCACTAACAGTTCCCCTTAAACTGACCTAATCACAAACTAATAAATGTAAACTAAACAAAAGTTTCAAAGTCAATAGACTATGACTGAGGGGGCGGGGCCAAATAATCTCCATAAAAATGAGACATGCCAATGCTTAAACAACTGCATACCAAATATCATTGACCTACCACTAATGGTTCCCCATAAACTGACCTAATCACAAACTAATACATGTTAACTAAGCAAAGTAGCAAAGTTTCAAAGTCAATAGATCATGACTGAGGAAGTGGGGCCAAATAATCTGTGGTAATGAGATGTGCCAATGCTAATACAACTGCATACAAAATATCATTGACCTACCACTAGTGGTTCACCATAAACTAGACCTAATCACAAACTAATGTTGCCACAGCATACCTATGTCTCGCTTTTTGACTCCGTCAAGGCAAGACAAAAACAAGAATGTGTCCATAGTACACAGATTGCCCACTCGCACTATCATTTTCTATGTTCAGTGGACTGTGAAATTGGGGTCAAAACTCTAATTTGCCATTAAAATTAGAAAGATCATATCATAGGGAACATGTGTACTAAGTTTCAAGTTGAGTGGACTTCAACTTCATCAAAAACTACCTTGACCAAAAACTTTAACCTGACACAGGACAGACGGACGAACGAACTGACGCCGAGACCAGAAAACATAATGCCCCTACTACTATCGTAGGCAGGCATAAAAACACATTTTCAAAATTTTGCTCTGGATACACCTTTTGATCATGAATATAAAAATAAGAAGATGTGGTATGATTGCCAATGAGACAACTCTCCACCCGAGACCAAATGACATAGAAGTTTACAACTATAGGTCATGGTATTGCCTTTAACAAATAAGTATATATATATGTCCATTGTGTAAATTTCCATGAATGTTTGACAAAGCTATTGATGTCTGAAAATATTAATCTAAATGCATCTAAATATTTACTGAAAAAACAAACTAGAGGCTCTAAAGAGCCTGTGTCGCTCACCTTGGTCTATGTGAATATTAAATAAAGGACGCAGATGGATTCATGACAAAATTGTGTTTTGGTGATGGTGATGTGTTTGTACATCTTAATTTACTGAACATTTTTCCTGCTTACAATTATCTCTATCTATAATTAACTTGGCTCAGTAGTTTCAGAGGAGAAGATTTTTGTAAAAGATTACTAAGATTTACGAAAAAATGGTTAAAAATTGACTATAAAGGGCAATAACTCCTAAAGGGGTCAACTGACAATTTCGGTCATGTTGACTTATTTGTAGATCTTACTTTGCCGACATTTATTGTTTTTTACAGTTTATCTCTATCTATAATAATATTCAAGATAATAACCAAAAACAGCAAAATTACCTTAAAATTACCAATTCAAAGGCAGCAACCCAACAATGGGTTGTCCGATTCATCTGAAAATTTCAGGGCAGATAGATCTTGACCTGATAAACAATTTTACTTCATGTCAGATTTGCTTTAAATGCTTTGGTTTTTGAGTTAAAAGCCAAAAACTGAATTTTACCCCTATGTTCTATTTTTAGCCGTGGCAGCCATCTTGGTTGGTTGACCAGGTCACGCCACACATTTTTAAAACTAGATAACCAAAGATGATTGTGGTCAAGTTTGGTTTAATTTGGCCACGTAGTTTCAGAGGAGAAGATTTTTGTAAAAGATTACTAAGATTTACAAAAAATTGTTAAAAATTGACTATAAAGGGCAATAACTCCTAAAGGGGTCAACTGACCATTTCAGTCATGTTGACTTATTTGTTAATCTTACTTTGCTGAACATTATTGCTGTTTACAGTTTATCTCTATCTATAATAATATTCAAGATAATAACCAAAAACAGCAAAATTTCCTTAAAATTACCAATTCAGGGGCAGCAACCCAACAACAGGTTGTTCGATTCATCTGAAAATTTCAGGGCAGATAGATCTTGACCTGATAAACAAATTTACTTCATGTCAGATTTGCTCTAAATGCTTTGGTTTTTGAGTTATAAGCCAAAAACTGCATTTTACCCCTATGTTTTATTTTTAGCTGTGGCTGCCATCTTGGTTGGTTGGCCGGGTCACGCCACACATTTTTTAAACTAGATACCCCAATGATGATTGTGGCCAAGTTTGGTTTAGTTTGGCCCAGTTGTTTCAGAGGAGAAGATTTTTGTAAAAGATTACTAAGATTTACGAAAAATGGTTAAAAATTGACTATAAAGGGCAATTACTCCTAAAGAGGTCAACTGACCATTTCGGTTATATTGACTTATTTGTAAATCTTACTTTGCTGAACATTATTGCTGTTTACAGTTTATCTCTATCTATAATAATATTCAAGATAATAACCAAAAACAGCAAAATTTCCTTAAAATTACCAATTCAGGGGCAGCAACCCAATAACGGGTTGTCCGATTCATCTGAAAATTTCAGGGCAGATAGATCTTGACCTGATGAACAATTTTACCCCATGTCAAATTTGCTCTTAATGCTTTGGTTTTTGAGTTATAAGCTAAAAACTGCATTTTACCCCTATGTTCTATTTTTAGCCGTGGCGGCCATCTTGGTTGGTTGACCAGGTCATGCCACACATTTTTAAAACTAGATAACCAAATGATGATTGTGGCCAAGTTTGGTTTAATTTGGCCACGTAGTTTCAGAGGAGAAGATTTTTGTAAAAGATTACTAAGATTTACAAAAAATTGTTAAAAATTGACTATAAAGGGCAATAACTCCTAAAGGGGTCAACTGACCATTTCAGTCATGTTGACTTATTTGTAAATCTTACTTTGCTGAACATTATTGCTGTTTACAGTTTATCTCTATCTATAATAATATTCAAGATAATAACCAAAAACAGCAAAATTTCCTTAAAATTACCAATTCAGGGGCAGCAACCCAATAACGGGTTGTCCGATTCATCTGAAAATTTCAGGGCAGATAGATCTTGACCTGATGAACAATTTTACCCCATGTCAGATTTTCTCTTAATGCTTTGGTTTTTGAGTTATAAGCTAAAAACTGCATTTTACCCCTATGTTTTATTTTTAGCCGTGGCGGCCATCTTGGTTGGTTGACCAGGTCACGCCACACATTTTTAAAACTAGATACCCCAATGATGATTGTGGCCAAGTTTGGTTAAATTTGGCCCAGTAGTTTCAGAGGAGAAGATTTTTTGTAAAAGTTTACGGACGACGGACGCAAAGTGATGAGAAAAGCTCACTTGACCTTTCAGGTCAGGTGAGCTAAAAACAAGTCCATTTATCAGTAAAATACAGAAAATAAAAAAAATAATAAAAAAAGTCCTGAATACTGTCTTTTGCTCATAAGAATAACGTCCAAGTTTTGTCAAATTCAATGAAGGTTTGACCAAGTTACTGATGTCTTTAAAAAATTTAAACACATCTGTATCTAAATGTTTACTGGACTAACGGAATGAAGGATCAGTGTCTTGCTTGTTCAACTTTTATCGCAGGCTCAACAAAAATGTGCATTGATATAACTATCACTTTATTTCTTCACACAATTACAATGGTGAATCAGAATGAAATGGTCAGCATATTTTTAATTTTTTTTCTCCAACATACAACACCCCCTCCCCCCACCAATACATATGACTTTTTTTTTCACGTTTGGTTTCTTTTCAGGTCTGTTTTAAATACTATGTTTGAATTGTAATATATCCTACCTGATCTGCATGGCACTGGTTTTGTTACTCCTCCTGACAGGTGGATATTGCCCAATGCTGCTTCCTGGACTGTTCATTCCACTACCACTTGTTAAACTTCCAGCTTTAAAAAAATTACACGTATATCATACCTTGAATTACCACATTTTGTTTTCTTCTTTTATTCAAACAAAATACTTCCAAAATAAAGACAGTTTCTAAATTTTGTTCTCTCTAGTGTTCTAACATTTCCATAAAAAACAAATTAAAATTATCATATATATATATAACTGTATGTAACTGGCCTATTTCTATGCAAATAAGGGTGAGAATTGTAACCCGATGATGGTCAAGTTTTTGTATCTATTATATGACCTGATGTAGGTTTGGATGGTCAAGTTATTGTATCTATTATATGACCTGATGTAAGTTTGGATGGTCAAGTTATTGTATCTATTATATGACCTGATGTAGGTTTGGATGGTCAAGTTATTGCATCTATTATATGACCTGATGTAGGTTTGGATGGTCAAGTTATTGTATTTATTATATGACCTGATGTAGGTTTGGATGGTCAAGTTATTGTATCTATTATATGACCTGATGTAGGTTTGGATGGTCAAGTTATTGCATCTATTATATGACCTGATGTAGGTTTGGATGGTCAAGTTATTGTATCTATTATATGACCTGATGTAGGTTTGGATGGTCAAGTTATTGTATCTATTATATGACCTGATGTAGGTTTTTATACAATATATTGTATCTATTATATGACCTGATGTAGGTTTGGAGGGTCAAGTTATTGTATCTATTATATGACCTGATGTAGGTTTGGAGGGTCAAGTTATTGTATCTATTATATGACCTGATGTAGGTTTGGAGGGTCAAGTTATTGTATCTATTATATGACCTGATGTAGGTTTGGATGGTCAAGTTATTGTATCTATTATATGACCTGATGTAGGTTTGGATGGTTGAGTTATTGTATCTATTATATGACCTGATGTAGGTTTTTATACAGTATTTCTATTGCTTGTATGTCCTTTTTTATTTGGTGATGTTGATCATGCAAGTTGACAAGATATATTTCAAATAAAAAACCCTAAGGATGATTTTGGCAAAGCAGTTTCAGAAGTTTTTTTAACTGTCTGATGGGCACTGACACTAAGTGATGACAAAAGCTTACATGACAATTCATCAAGTGAGCTTAAAAGTACAGAAATATTTCTTACTAGAACTTGTCATTATGTTGCTGAGACTGGTCATGTTGGAAGAAGATCCTATTGGGCCAATGTTGCTACCAATAGTTCCCACACTACTCATTCCTCCTCCAATAGTTCCAATGGGAGGCTGAGGGTTTTGTACTAGTCTGTCAAGGGCATCCAGATTAGGTGTCTGTGATCTTGGGGTAGGTGGATTCAGTAGATTGTGTTGAATATCAGGACTACTGGTAATTGGTGTCACTGAGTGGCTACCACCTAAATCATCTATAGAAACATAAATCATCAAATGTACAAAAAAATTGTAAATAGTTATAGTAGCTGTTAAAGTGGTGTTATTGTAGTGTTCTCCATGGGGCCTTTTAGCATCATGGTATGAATGTGAAGCTATCTGAAATGATTTTCAGATTAATTGTGTTATGGCTGCTATAATGTCTAGAAACAAGATTGTATTTTAAAATGTCCTGATTACGAAGATGCTTATCTATATAAAATTTGTTGGGAGAAGACGGTAATGATTATACAATAATGTTTTACCATATTCTCTATGTGCCAAGCCCAAGGCTAGAGCATGTAATCAAGTTTTTGTCCTCTGTTCCTGTCTGTTACAATTATTTTTAGTTTATTGTTTGAAGTATAAATGAGGCTTTTAGCTTTTAGCTTTCTCTTTTGAATTGTTTAACATTTTGTCATCCAAGGACTTTATATAGCTTACTATATGCTATGGGTAATGCTCATGCTGTAACTGAACTGTTCTGTTTTTAATTGCAGTTATACAATAAGATGATAGCATAGTGAATTCTAGCATTGTTCTGAAAATCCAATAAGAAATTATTCCCTTCCCCTCATTGATTTTGTCTCACATAGTTTGTATTGTTTCCATTTTTATTATTAAAGTTTATAATTGCTTAGAATGTGTGTCCTTCCATTTTTTGTAATCAGAATTGTAATATCACAAAATTATTAATACATATAACTTACTAGGTCCACCAAAGCCTCCTACTGAACCCATCTGAGCTAAGGCTGCTATATTGTTAAACATTGGCTGCACACTAGAACCACTGTTGTTACTGGCAGCATCAACAGATATCCCACTGTCAGACATGGCAGGGCTATGAGAGCTTCTAGACAGACTGGACCCTTCAGCCATTGACTGGGTACCACCGGTAATTGCACCATGCATTGGAGGATTCATTGACGAGCCAATATTATGGAAATTTCCAACATTTGTCAGACCAAGTCCCATGTTGTTTGCCTCGGTTTCTTGCAGTAGATTGTTGGACATGTAGCTTGCACTTGACATTGGTGGAGGCATCATGCTGTGATCATTCATCATATGTGGTAAGTTGAAACCTTCATTCTCAAAAGAGGAATGCAGTGAGGAGGATGGTCGCTCTGGTTGCTGAAAAAGAATACTTTGGTAGTTCAGATAGGAATACACCAGTTTATCATGGTCAACCATGTGTAAAGACATATAATTTCCATTCTTATAATATGTTTTCTGAATAATCTTCATTCATCAACAGTGAGCCAGCCAAAGTTCTGTATATATGTAAATTATTACGTTAAATCATCTATTCACAAATGATTTATTCAAAGCAGTTGATGGAAGCTATTTTAATTTTAATATTGAAATGGATATACATGTGACTTGGTTAAAAATTTAGTAATGTGATGACTTTTTGTAAAACTGACCATGTCAAAGTTATATATGTTCAATAATGGTCAGATTTATTACCTTAGGAGTTTCCTTGGTGAATGAACCGAAAGAATTCTCTACTGCATTTTGGAAGACTTTGCCATCAGTGTGAAACTCAATGTTAACATTAACATCAGCTTTTGGAGTATTGTTGATCAGTTTAAGCAACTGTGACATTATCATTTTCTTCATCATCAATAGTTGTAAACCATTTCCATGCTTGAGAACTCTTTCAGCAAAAGTGCAACAGTCCTCAATTTTATCTGAAGTTTTCTCAACATTATGGAACAATTCCATTATGGCAAGTTCTTGGCAAGAATGACGATTTTCTAGTTCCTCCAACATCTTTTCCTGAAAACAATATTAAATCAAAATATTAAAATCATGCTGTGTGTTACTTAGGACTTCAAATTTACTTGTGGCTTATTTTTCATCTGCTTCATATAGATTTACAGAAGTAGTTTCTCATACATGGCAAAAGATGTGTTTGCCATGTTAACTTAATGATTTTTTGAATGAACTTATCATAAAGGCTATCAGTTTTAATATTGTAGTTATATCTTTATTGTCTTTAAGAGTTCTAAGATTGATTTTATTTTATAACACCATTTCCAGATGTGCATAATATGCATTTTTTAACCCTAGTGTATGTTTCTAAGTGTAGGTTCATATTGTACGTGCCTTTAAGTTTTAAAGTCGTTATTAAGGACCAAGATGAAACCAGGTGGTCTCAGATGGAGAATATATATCATACACCTGATTGTTTCCATGGGGTCAAAACTCTAAATTGGCATTAAAATTAGAAAGATCATATCATAGGGAACATGTGTACTAAGTTTCAAGTTGATTGGACCTAACCATCAAAAACTACCTTGACCAAAAACTTTAACCTGAACCTGGACAGACAGACGAACGAACGGTTGCACAGACTGAAAAACAGAATGCCCCTAGGTGGGGCATAAAAAAGTGGAAAGTCAAAATTACAGATGAGAAGGTTTTGATAAACTTAGCTTAGGGGTTTCTTGAAGTCATTACTTACTATTAAAAATATGTTTCAACAAGGAATACAGAAGTAATAAATGTGTAAAGTTTGAATGAAACTTGCTGGTTTGAGGATATCGGCCACCATTTTTTAATATATGTAGATCACGTCATGTGACTATGTTGTTAAGATTTAAGTGATGATTTTATGTTCAACACTCATAGTTTTTAACTTAATAAAAGTTACATTTCTTAACCTGTACAAAAAAATCAGAAAATCACTTTTGCAGATATGTTAATCCCATAAAGCTACCTTTACAAATTTGGTGGCGGAACAAGTAATCTTGTTTTGCTATATTCTGTGCAAGTTTGTTTTAAATATACACATTTAATGGGAGAAATCCAGAAAAATCTTTATCCTCACCAAAACATTTTTTTAAAATGCTTGATACAAGAACACAGACCAAACTTTATTTTTCATAATCATTTTTTATCTATCAAAATCTGTTGAAAAAGACTTTCTTTATAGTGTTTTTTATTTTCAATTTCAGTAGTGAACCTTAAATAATGACTATTCAGTATTTTGTTAAGAAAGTAATACTTATCAAAAGCTTTCATACCTTTTGTATTTCAAGTACAGTTCTGTATGTCTGGAATGTTTCTTGAATTAGCCCTTTAGCGTCATCTCTCTGCATCTGCAGGTCTGACAAAGAATTTTCTAGGGAAGTTGATGCCTCATTACATGCTGACACCTTACTTTTACACTCTGTTATAAGCACATCAAAATCACTTCTCTGAGTCTCTTCAATATCAGTTATTCTCTCATAATGGTGATTTGGTTGCTTATGGTCTGCTAACATACACTCGTTACAAATTGGTACCTGAAAATAGAATTGATAAATTTATTTTATTTGGTTTTTTTTAATTACCGTAACTACTCAATTACAGTCTGTGCCAAAAACTTTTTGAAGCACTAGCCCGTTGAATAAAAAAAAAAAAAATAGCCTGAATTTTTTTTTACTAGACCTGAAAAAATTTGTGTCACTGGTGAGGATCACGAAGTGATCCAAACCTTTTAGGAGGGACTGGGGGCATGCCTCCCCCAAGAAAATTTTGGAAAATTAGACGTAAAATCCTGCATTCTGAGGTTACATTTTTGTATCTGGAAGTGAATATAACTTATCAAATAAATGTGGATAGTGTCCACATGTGGACACAGATGATGCCCCCGCTTGCATATCATATAGTTATAAAGGGACATAACTGAAGAACCATAAAAGTGACGCTACCCAAATTTGAACTTGATCTGAGTTTTGTGGTAATAAGCATTGTGTGTAAGTCTCATAACATTTGGTTGAGGCTAACTTAAGTAGAGAACAGAAACTAAAAATTCAGCAATTTTTCTATTTGTAAACACGCATAACTCTAGAACGGTTGTGTATAAGTTTTATAACATTTGGTTGAGACAAACTAAAGTTAGAGAACGGAAACGAAAAATTCAGCAATTTTCATGTTTATAAAGGGACATCAACTCAAGAATGGTAAAAGTGTCGCCACCAAATTTCGTACTTAATCTGTATTATGTACAGTGATATTGTTTGCCTCAAATTACAGCCGAAATTCGGCTTTTTCCCCTAGAGAAAATTCCCAATTACTAAAAAAAATGGCTTAAAATTCCTCCCAAAAAGTTTTACATTTTCCCCAAACAGTGATGGCATTGGTAGTAATGATTGTAAATATCGTATTCATGTTATTATTTTGATATTCGAAAGCACTTTTGAGATCCGGTTTTCTGATCAGAATCATCATGGTGTTTGTAACACATGTGGTTTTCAATGCATTAAGTACCATCATTGCTTCTGTTTCTTTCCCCTCTTAGAAAAGTACCTTTCAGGTTGAAAATGTCTGACAACCAAAATATACATGAAAAACAATGCAAAAAAGACTGCAAAGGTCGGCAAAAAATCGGAAATGTGTTTAGAATAAAATATACAAATTTCCCAATTTCAATAAAAAATATGCATTTTTCCCAATAAAAAACGGTAGAGGTAGTTTTGAAAAAAGACAACAATATCACTGATGTAGTAATAAGCATTGTGTATAAGTTTCATAAAATTTGGTTGAGGCAAACTAAAGTTAGAAAACGGAAACAAAAAATTTATACTTGATCTCAGTTTTGTGGTAATGAATATTGTGTATAGGTTTCATAATGTTTGGTTGGGGCAAACTTAAGTTACAGAATGGAAACTAAAAATTTTGCAATCTTTCAATTTATAAAGGGGCATAACTCAATAATGGTTTAAGTGACACTACCCAAATTCAACTTGATCTGTGTTTTATCAGTGGAAGTCAAAATTAAACATTGCATTGTATAAGCATTGATTGTTGATTCAACTATAATCATGGACAAAGGAAGATAACTCTATTTTTTAAATTACTTGATATTTAGAAGAAAATAAAAATTTTGCAATTTTTCCATTTATAAAGGGGCATAACTCTAGAACAGTTAAAGTGACGCCACCAAAATTCAAACTTGATCTGTGTTTTGTGGTAATAAGCATTGTGTATAAGTTTCATAACATTTGGTTGAGGCAAACTTAAGTTAAGAGAACGGAACCTAAAATTTTTGTAATTTTTCCATTTATAAAGGGGCATAACTCTAGAACGGTTAAAGTGACGCCACCAAAATTCAAACTTGATCTGTGTTTATTGGTAATAAGCATTGCATATAAGTTTCATAACATTTGGTTGAGGCAAACTCAAGTTAGAGAACGGAAACCAATCTTGGGAAGTACGTACGTACGTTCGTTTGTACGCATGTACATACGTACAGACGGACAAGGGTAAAACTTAATGCCCTCACCGCTACGGCGGGGGCATAAAAATGTTGTTTTTTTCTCCAGGTCAAATAAAAAATTCCCATTTTCCCATAAAAAAATAATATAGTTCTTTTGCCAAAAAAAAAAGAGGCTTTATTCTATAGACTTGTACCATTTCAAGTAAAAAGACATTTTTAGCACTAGTAAATTATTAGTAAATTATCAAATTAGGGATTGTTACTTTTATGGGGAAAAGTTCCCTTATTGATGGCAACTGGTTAAAATTATTCCTAATAGTTCATATTTTTGTTAGTCTTTACAAGGATTTGTATACAAATTCTTGGTCTTAAATATTAAAAGTTAATTCTCTGGCACTTCTTTTGGATCTGGAAGGGGGGCCTTCATTTCTGTATTCTTTTAATTTTTGTGCCATTTTCTCCTTTCTTTATATTTTAACACCTCATTTTCTCAATTCTTTATTTTTTGGTCAATTTTTCTCTAAACAAATATTCCTTTATGAAATAATGTTTTTCCCCCAATTATTCTCTATTCTATAAACCCCTATCAACTCTCTCCTTCACTTTCCGTAATTTTGTTTTAATTGAAATAAAAATGCCTAGATCCTTTTTCTGCATAGCTTTTTTTCAACTCGAAATTTCTCCAGTTATTCCTGTAGGCATTTTCAACTTTTCAATGTTTCACCTGGGATAATCCCTCTGTTACCATTTCATCATCGAGTAAGATCCTAAGATCGAATCTACATTGAGTGGTATTTATAGATTGTGTTTATTGCAAGCACATGGTCGAGCCTCGTTCTCGATTTCGTTAGCAATTAGTTATATCTCGTTGCCTACTGGTTCCCTTTGATTAGAAAGGGTAATAAAATGCTCAACTGGGCGCAGCTTGATACGGCCGCAGAGGTCGAACCCTGAACAGTTGGGGCAAGTATGGACACAACATTCAAGCAGCACTGAATTTGGATTGTGATTAAATATTTGACACAGCATAGGTTTCTGACACAGAATGAATGTGGTCTAAGAACTTAAAAAATTTTAATTTACCTATTCAAACCATATTATTATTATTTGCTTTTATATATAAATCAGAAATAACCAATTTAAAATGGAAAATTTTAAAGAAAAAAAAGGAAAAAAAAATCCCCCCCCCCCAATTTTTTGAACCCCCTTATGATTCATCACCCCAAACCTCAATCCCAGCCTTCCCTTTGAGGTGTGGTACCTTGCAGTACTATTTCAGAGAGATCCATACACTTGAACACAAGTTATTGTCTGGAAACTAGAAAAATGCTTGTTTTTTGGCCCCAAATTCCTAAACGTTTGGGGCAATTACCCCCAAACTCAGACCCAGCTTTCCCGTTGTGATATGAAACCTTGTAGTACAATTTCATAAAGATCCATACACTTACACACAAGTTATTGTCCTGAAACTAGAAAAATGCTTGTTTTTTTGCCCCTCTGTCATAATTATACAAAGGAGAAAGATTCTTTAACAAAGGCATAGTATGATACAAGACATTAAAACCAATATCAAACCAACTGAAACATATCAATATCTGCACAGACACTGCTCACACCCAAAAAGTGTTTTCATTGAAAGGATTTATCAAGGGTGAAGTATTGAGGTATCTCAGAAACACAAGCAGCAAAACTGATCTTAAAAAAACAGTAAAAAGCTCAAACGAGGATATCAAATATCTGAAATTAACGTTTTTTTTTATCAAACACAAAATACAGAAAGGGAAAACTTGCTAACACATCGCCCAGCAAACGGGAGCAACTGCTAGTAATGTTAACAAAATTCAACCCATCTATACAGAAACTAAAAATATAATAATGAAACACTGGCATCTTATTTCACAAAACCCTGAATGTGTGACCATATTTAATCATCAGCCCATTATAGCTTATAAAAGACATAAGAACTTACAAGAACTTTTATCAAAGCATTAGCTGGTATAGTCATCTCGACTTTTCACAACACAATATGATACTGAGCTCGAAAAAAATCAACTACTATTTTATCCAAAGACAACTAGTGTATGGTCCAATATCACATACGAAATGAAACAAAATAGCATAAATAGCACGCCAATATACAACTTATTGAGTCGACCACTGATAAAGGCGAACTCAGGGATTAACCACAAACACGGCAGAAACACCGGGCCTAACATTTAAGCTCAATGGTGAGCTCGGATGCACAATCGTAACTACTCGGCCACTCTCGCTATGCATTTTGTTATTGGAGGCGTAGCTAGAATTGAAGAGTAGTTAAGATTGCTCAGATGCATTTATTTAAAACATTATTCCATTCCAATTTCAGTATCCTTGCATACGTTGTTTATCCTTTGCTGCAAACACACGGGCGACAATGATTTCGCGGAATGTTGAAAATACGGACCATTCAAGGAAACGAACTTTTGAGCGAAACGAAAAAAAAAAAAAAAAAAAACAACAACGTGATTTTCGAAAAAAATTATTTCAGTCGGCGGATTTTTAGAGGGTCGGTCGGGTAAGGGGAAACAAACTTAATTTTAATTTTGGCCTGATCTAGTTTGAATGTTCCTTTCGTATCTTTCGCCTCTCTTTGACTTTGATGTTTCCTTCTCTAACCAAATATGGTTACTCCTCTCACTTCTGAATTAGTCCAATTTTACTCCAAATCCAATATACAATTTATAGAGTTGTCATCTGGAAACCCATTTCTGCACTGACTTAAATCTTGTTTTCAGTATCTATGACTTTGAACTTAAAGGTGTAACAATCAATCCAACCATCATAATTGATCATACGTTCAATTCCATTTTTTTTTAAGTTACCAAAAAAGTTACTTGGAATCTCTTTAGGGGGTGATACAGGAGTATTTTTACATACCTGACAGCTCATGCAGAAAAATTTCATTTTTTCTGTTGGGTGACTGGAACAGAATATTGGCTTATGAAAGGAAACTGTCTCTGTATCCTGCATGTCATCAAACTTCACAACCTACAACAAGTAAACCATATAGTAATTTACTTTCTAGATACAAACTGTGAGCAGAGGTGTCATCAAACTTCACAACCTACAACAAGTACACCATATAGTAATTTACTTTCTAGATACTAACTGTGAGCAGAGGTGTCATCAAACTTCACAACCTACAACAAGTACACCATATAGTAATTTACTTTCTAGATACAAACTGTGAGCAGAGGTGTCATCAAACTTCAAAACCTACAAGTAAACTATATAGTAATTTACTTTCTAGATACTAACTGCGAGCAGAGGTGTCATCAAACTCCACAACCTACAATAAGTAAACCATATAGTAATTTACTTTCTAGATACTAACTGTGAGCAGAGGTGTCATCAAACTTCAAAACCTACAACAAGTAAACCATATAGTAATTTTCTTTCTAGATACTGTGAGCAGAGTGGTGCAGTTCTATAAAAAAGTTTTCATTTTAGACAACAAATTTTTTAGAGGGTTTCTTCACAACTTCCTTTCTTAAATGCAGCTAATTGTTTCTATAATACTTTTAAAACATCTAAAATAATGGTCTACTAGTCTAGTTATAAGTAATAAGTACTTCAATCTAAATCAAATTGCATATTATCTTTGTATCAACATGTGTGATCAAACAACCTAATTCTCTCATGGTGTAACATTTTTGGCTAAATATTTACTGTAATATCTTGTTCCTAAAATACTTGTATTGAAATGAGATAAATACAACTTTTTCTTGTTTACCTTATGATTATCGAAACATCTCATAAACTGGTGTGCAGTGACACAGTTTTCACACAGGTAACTAGCGCAATCACAGCATCTTGCAACAGCCTTCTCCTTAGCTTTACAACTGGTGCAGACAAGTTTCATTTCATTCATAGCTGACATCTCCAGTAGATCTATTGTCACATGGTCAATAGGCAACTCTTGTATTCCTTTTTCAGGAATATGTGTTTCCTGCTTACATTTAGGACAAACAATAACATCTTTTGGTGCATTTTCTTCTCTCTCTTCAATTTCCTTCTCCAAACAGGACTGACAGAACACATGCAGACAAGTCAGGATCTTAGGCTGATTGAACATGGACCCACATTTACTGCATGTATTTTCGTCATTTTCCAGGCTGCATGTAAGTGAATCAATTGGAGACTCCCTAGGAGAATTTTCCTTAGAGGACATCTTTTATTCTATGTCTGTTAACTGAAAAAAAAAAGATTTAAAGAAGGTTATAGCCTCCAACTTTATTCTATAGCCATGTTTTATTCGAAATTTAATTTACCCAAATAAAAGAAGGGTCAGTAAGGGACCAACCATTTTTTTGCAAGGATGTTTTCAGACATATCTGCTGTAACTGCTTATAAAAATAAGATGTGGTAAGCCAATGAGCATGATGAGACAACTCTCCACCAGAGAAGCAACTATAGGTCAGCATACTCATTTTAAAATCACTAACACGACAGAACCAGAAAACAATACATTAATCATTGTCATTCTCTTCATTGACAAATTGCATATGGCAAACTTCCAGTAAAGCAATAAGTGTAATTACCAGAACCAGACTCTGTGAAATCATATTTCCCAAAAATTCCAGAATTTTTTTATTGGTAGTTCCCAAGATGATAATGATGGATGATTGTTTAAACGTCCAGTGTAAAATTCAATACATATTTAGGACAAGACTGAAGAGCATTTTTATGTGACATGAATAGTAAAATTACTTTCAATAAAATGCTCCACTGGGGTGCAGCTTGATACGACCGCAGAGGTCGAACCCTGAACAGTTGGGGCAAGTGTTGACACAACATTCAAGCTTGATACAGCTCTGAATTTCGATTGTGATTAAATATTTGACACAGCATAGGTTTCTGACACAGAATGAATGTGGTCTAAGAAAATTTTAATTTACCTATTCAAACCATATCATTATTATTTTCTTTTATATATATATCAGAAATAACCAATTTAAAATGGAAAATTTAAAAGAAAAAAAAAATCCCACCCCCAAATTTTTTGAACCCCCTTATGATTCATCACCCCAAAACTCAATAACAGCCTTCCCTTTGTGGTATGGTACCTTGCAGTACAATTTCAGAGAGATCCATACACTTGAACACAAGTTATTGTCTGGAAACTAGAAAAATGCTTGTTTTTTGGCCCCAAATTCCTGAACGTTTAGGGCAATTACCCCCAAACTCAATCCCAGCTTTCCCTTTGTGATATGGAACCTGGTAGTACAATTTCATAAAGATCCATACACTTACACACAAGTTATTGTCCTAAAACTAGAAAAATGCTTGTTTTTTGCCCATTTTTGGCCCTTTATTCCTAAAATTTTGAGGCAATTACCCCCAAAATCAATAACAGCCTTCCTTTAGTGGTATGGTACCTTGCAGTACAATTTCAGAGAGATCCATACACTTGAACACAAGTTATTGTCTGGAAACTAGAAAAATGCTTATTTTTGACCCCTTATTCCTAAACATTTTCGGCTATTACCCCCAAACTCAATTCCAGCTTTCCCTTTGTGGTATGAAACCTTGTAGTACAATTTCAGAAAGATCCATACACTTACAAACAAGTTATTGTCATGAAACTAGAAAAATGCTTGTTTTTTGCCCCCCCCCAATTCCTAAAATTTTGAGGCAATTACCCCCAAAATCAATCCCAGCATTCCCTTTGTGATATGGAACCTTGTGGAACAATATAAGAGAGATCCATACACTAACAAACAAGTTATGTCTGGAAGTTACAAAAATGCTCATTTTTGGCCCCTTATTCCTTATCTGTTGGTACCATAACCCCCAAAATCAATCCCAACCTTCCTTTTGTGGTATTGAACCTTATGGTAAAATTTCAGAGATCCATTCACTTAAACTGAAGTTAGAGTGCGAAGACCAATGTGTCTTCGGATGCGACAACGCCATACCAATATAAGGGTTGTATAAAAATGGGCATTCTTACCTATATAACATGTTACTTTTATTATTCTTCCCTTAGTTTATTTATTTTGTATTCTAAATTATTTATTTTGTAAAAATATTTCCTTTCTCTATTGGTACTGTACACGTATACCTAACAACAAAATTATTTTCATTTACCTGTGTTTAAAGTTATTGCAAATGGATGGTATTTTTGTGCGAGCATATTGTTTTTCTTGAATTGTTTAACATTTCTTACCGATATAATATGTTACTTTTATTATTTTTCCCATAGTTTATTTATTTTGTATTTACATTGTGTCATAGGTCAAATTTATTTGTTCAGTGTATGTTCAATGGTGTTAATATGTCCTTTGATTGAGTTAAGCTATTTCAGTTGATATTTTATAGTGTGTCTTTCTATGTTGTGATGTTACACTATTGTTTCAGAAAAAGGGTGAAGGTTTGGTACCATTAAAACGTTTCAACCCGCTGCATTTGTTTGCACCTGTCCTAAGTCAGGAATCTGATGTTCAGTAGTTGTCGTTTGTTGATGTGGTTCATAAGTGTTTCTCGCTTTTTATATAGATTAGACTGTTGGTTTTCCTGTTTGAATGGTTTTACACTAGTAATTTTTTGGGGCCCTTTATAGCTTACTGTTCGGTGTGAGCCAAGGCTCCGTGTTGAAGACCGTACTGTGACCTATAACGGTTTACTTTTATGAATTTTGACTTGGATGGAGAGTTGTCTCATTGGCACTCATACCACATCTTCTTATATCTATTATGTCATGAATATATGTAGTGCAATGGTTACGCTAAAGTGCGATGGTCTACGCTAAAGTATGATGGTGTCTCACGCTAAAGTGCGATGGTTGTTTGTTTGCTAAAGAGCGATGGTTGTTTGTTTGCTATAGTACGATGGTATATCACGCTAAAGTGTGATGGACCAAAAGGGTAAGGTTAGAGGGCTTAAAACGTTAAAGTACATGGATGTTAAAAAATAGTCTTTTTGCAAAAGCTAAGGTATAACATATGTGATAGGCTTTATAATTTTACCGGTAGGGTTAAGCGATTGTTTCTAAATTCAGAAGACCGACCACGTTATAATTGCTAAAAAGGTAATTTAGGTGTCACAAAATACTATATTTCTTGTAAATGAATTTTTAACAATTCGGGCGTATTAAATATTGTGATAATTGGCGTAGCTTGCCATTCACAGTCTATCACTAATGGAAACACCTCCCCTTACAGTTGTCATTGTAAATTACAAATACAAAATTCGATTATCGTCAGAATATGTAACATTTATTTGTTTAAGCATTAATTCAAATGAGAGAAAAAGGCGATGTTCGCCTAGTTTTCTCCTTTTTCGTAGCGACTACACATACATGTTATATTTTCCTATAATGTACAAACTAATATTTTAGCCGACAATTTATAATTTACACATGCAAACATGTACCTTTATTTTACCGATGTTACTTTCTAAAGCGACAATATTTTAAAGGGGACCGCAAAGTAAACTGCAACATAAACAATGACTTAAATGTATCCGTTCGCTTCCAATAAAAGCATGATACAGGATATTTATGCGAATACTATTTTGTATCTAAATAGTAAAATGGTCGACTGCAGGATACAAGTTATTCTTCCAGCTACCGAAAAAAAAAAACACATTTGCTTCATATGACAAAGCCCGGTTAGGTTTAAATTAATTAAGTCATGGACATTTGGTTTAAAAGTTGTTAATCAAATATTCTAAATTTATCTTCCAGCATGTTCATTTTTGGTTTGTATAAACGACTGTTAACGTCATTATCCAACTACGTTTCTAAGGTCTATACTTTCGCGAACCATCGCACTTTAGCGCAGACCATCTCACTTTAGCGTGACCATCGTACTTTAGAGTCCTACATATATAAGTATCAGGGAAAATTGGAAGTTGAGTGATCAATGTTACAATGCACCAGTGTACAACATAAACACATGCAGCTGACTCAGGCCTCTACAATAACTTTTTTTCCAACTTGTCCAATAGGACAAGTACATACCAAAACTTACTTGTCCGAATGAAATTGTAACTTGTCCAACAAAAATAATAATAATAACCTTTTTTGCCTTTTAAGTTGATTCAAGGAACAAAATGAATTAAAACAATATAACAGAATTTGATTGATATCTTTTGAAATACCATTTAAAAATATGAGTCGAGAACAACTGAATCTGGTCGTGTCACAGGACTTAGGTTCTAGTTTTCATCAATGCTAAAGTCTCATCAGACTCTACACATGAGGCACCGTCTGATAGGCCTGTCATTGTCCACTCATTGGATTTGTATCCTGGTTTTTTAAGTTGAAAAAAGTTTATTCAAATGTAATCAACAAAAAAAAGAAGATGAGGTATGATTGCCAATGAGACAACTCTCTGCAAGAGACCAAATGACACAGAAATTAATAACTATAGGTCAATGTATTACAAGTATTGTTTTTTTTTCTATATATGATCGAATATGATTTGTGAATTTTATGGTAAATAATTTCTTCATTTTTATTTAAAAAAAATTTTTGTTAAAGAAATTACGGTATGGTATTTATTTTGAAGCAACAGAATAAGGTAGGAAAACAGGTACTGATTTGTCTTGGTCCCGAAATGTCTCCTGTCTTCTGCGTTGCCAAACTGTCTATTAATCATGTCTATTAAATATGTCTCCTACGGTGCCAAACTGTCTATTAAACTTGGAGGGAATGTTTCCAAGCTAGTGACAAACTGTCTTGTAAAGTTACCTTATCTACAAAGCGCATCCTGATTGGATCAGTAATACTGGTTTCCGAGAATAGTCTGCCTTTTACCTGTTAAAAAGTACTGACAAAGAACCAGTTTTAAATTGTTGATTGCAAGTAAACATGTCAAATTAATACTTGTTTTTATCTTCTTTTCTTGTTTTTTGTTTATAATTACTTTGTTCATCAAAGTTGGATTAAATCAATTTTCTGCATAATAATTTAACTTGTCCCGTCGTACAAGCTTGATATAGCTTTTTCTTGTCCGACCTTTTTTTCCTCTGGTACCGGACAATCGGACAAGCGTTATTGTCGAGCCTTGTGACTACCAAATTAGAGGACTGTTGTTGTTTCTGATTATCAAGCACATTGCAGGCTGAAAAAACCATCATTAATGACTGCCAAAATCACTGTTTAGAGTCAGTCTGTCCAGGTTCAACTTCAGTAGTTTGGCAAATCATGGGACACTGCTTTCCCGTTTTATCTTACTGATTTTTGTCAGAAATAGTAACTTTCAAACTAGTTGAAGAAATTTCAATTGCAGCTTGCAGAATGACCGGTAACATTTGTTGCAAGCACATGAAAATGAAAACATCTGCAATACATTAAATGAATTGAAAGAACAATCAAGTGTTTATAATGTTATTGTGAGGATTTCTTCTAAAAGCTGTCGAGAACGAATCATTTTTAGCAACAGTTTACTAATTCACAATTCCCAACAGAATCAAACCATAATCATGTATATTAAATATTTGAACAATCAGTTCTTACAGCGACGCTAGAACATGAGCACTGTGACATAGGAAATGTACTGGAAAATGCCCATGTTTCAAAGTCTTACAAATTACTCTATAATTTCCCAAAGTGAAGGACCAGCAAAAGTTTGCTTTATGTCAGTCACGTTTGAACAAAAAATTGGATGTTTCACGAACTCTGACATTGTTTGATAATATTAATAGCAGAGCTAACATTAAAATCAAACTTGTTTTTTTTTCCCCAGAAATTTTAACAGGTCTGGGTAGGTAATAACTGATGGTTTTGATTCCTACATCCCTCCAAAATATTGATTGAAGTGTCATTTATAAAGTTGGTGAAAATAAAGTGATGTAAAATCAATTCATCTGTAGCAATAACTTTTGCTTTAAATCATTTTAACAGGAAGAGGATTTAAACCCACGGTAATCTGATTAAAATAAAATTTGTCTTGCTGACATCCACTTCCTGGTACACAGGATTCATTAACATTTTTGTACCATATTGTAAATCAAATATTTGCATTGTTTATACCTTATTGTTTTCTGTGCCAGTCTGTATTTTCATGCGTTGGCTAATAAATTGGCATTTTGGTATCAATATTTCAGAATGCATGAACACCACATCAACAATTTACTGCCAATACTGGCCAATTTGTACATTGACCTAAACCTTTGAAACATTATGTTACATATATATTTTAAATTTAAAATGCAAGGCAAATAAATTACAAAAAACGTGCAATCAATTGTTGGTATGCTGAACCTGAAAGAATGGGACAACATATTTTAATAAAATTTACTTTCGATTTTCCATGTAGAAGAAATATTTTCATATTAGTATGTGCACACATGCGCGATATTCAACAAATGGCTGCCAAGATGGAATATTTTATGTTTTATTTCTACTTTCGTTATCTTAATAAAAAATACTTACATGACCATGCAAACCAAGTTATCGGGTGCTGCGACCAAATTAATCATAAATGTTTACTTTATCAGCTGTTTATAGCAGCACGTGAGCACGTGCGTCAACACTCGAACTTTTGACTACCTACTTCGCCTTTCAACGATTCTTTCACTTGCGATTTCAATAGATATTTCGCACCTTTTGAAAACAAGTGCATCATATGCATTTTTCATACAATTATGACACAATTTCTTTATTTATCAGGAATGCCATAAATCAGAACAAGTGCAACCAGTATGATCGAGGAGAATTTGAAGGTCAAACAAATGTTCATCTGATAATAAAATGGAGAGAAATATGAAATCATACATACCTGGAATGTCAATTATTAAATATTCTTTGTTTTTATTGTTCCATCTGTGATCAGAAGGTCTTTTATTTGCGATTATTTCTCCCTGGAAGTCAGTCGTCTTCCCGCCATGTAAAACACTTAGAAAATGATTTGTTCAGGATTGTTTACACATGCGTCAAAATTCAGCGCGAAAATACAAAATCCCTAAGTTACAAGAGACATAAACACTGCAAAATGTTAAAGTGAAGTTTAAAAGACCACAATTTTAAGGGAGCTACCATTTGATTTTTATGGGGGGCTAGGATGAAAAATTTTGTTCTGCCTTTTTATTTTTCCCTCTATTCGGTCCTGCCTTTTTATTTTTCACTCTATTCGGTCCTGCCTTTTTATTTTTCACTCTATTCGGTCCTGCCTATTTTTTTAGTTTATCCTGACTTTTTTTTACATAAATTGTCATCCTGCCTTTTTTTTTGCAAAAAATCTCATCCTGCCTTTTTTTTTACTCAAAACTCCTGTCCTGCCTATTTTTTTCAAATTTCATCCTAGCCCCCCCCCCCCCCCCCCCCCCCCCATAAAAATCAAATGGTAGCTCCCTAACACAAAAAAGCATGCCATACGCACCTGTGGATAAAATTATCTATAATACCTAGCTGAGACTACTGCTAACACATAGTAGTCTCAGTCTATACAAATGACTTAATTTAACTGGTTAATTACTAGTCCAGCCCTGGCTCAGTGACTTATTATTAATTTTTTTCTGTTATCACTGGCAACAGAAAATTAAAAAAAATATTGAATAAGTTGACTAATATTGATTACCAGACAAAATGTATTACCTTATATACTTCTTCCGATGATTTGATAAAAATGAAGTAAATCTTTGTTTCGACTGGTATCCGGCCTTCCAATTAAAGGAAATTACCTTCTAAATAAAATATTTCAGGAGAAGTGCATTCCAAGGTTGCATCTGAGACAATATTAATTCAAAATTATATAAAAAATCTGAGTACACGATGTCATCTGAAATTTCATCACGATCTTGTCAATAATATAGATTATAATTCATTTCTAAATATTTACAGCAGACAAGATATGTGAATCAATGTGTACTTACCTTAAAATAATTGAAGCCAGAGAAAACAATAAAAAAAAACTTCAAACTTTGGCCACCAAAACATCAAAATTTGAATTAGCAATCATGCAGCTGATTTATACAAAGCCATACAACTTTGGACGAAAGTCAACGAGAAAGTGTGAGGAGATCGAGTTCAAAGTGATTATTCAACGGGAAACCCTAACAAAAATCGGAATTCAATTTGCATGTGAATTCTAGCAACAAATCCCTTCACATTTTCCTCCAAGGTTTAACAGGGCTAAAGGCCCTCCATTCAATCACCAAAAATATACACATGCATATATCACAGTCGTTTAAATTTTAGTGATAAAAATATTGAATTTTTTTTTTAAATAGTGATATATATATAATATCACTACCATTTGTTTTTTCTTTTTAATATTTGTAACACTAAAATTCAAACGACTAGGCATATATAGTTCCCTGGTAAGGGAATAAGCTTTAAAATTTCACTCCAGGGGCCCAACTGACAAAATGTGAAAATTTTGTATTGACCATAAGGGAATATTCTGTTAAAAAGTTAGGGGCCCAGCCAAATTTCCAGTAGCATTGGCTACTGGGCCCCTGTATATCTTATTCCCTGCTGGAACAATTTCAAACTATGTTTTCATTTTCATTTATTTTGTGTCAAGTCAAATTCTCAGAACTTATACCAGCCAACCAGGCAGAAAAAACACAATAAAATCGATATACACTCGAAAACATACCGTTCAAGTTGACGTCATTTCAACTTTTAACATCAATATAGATTTTTTTAATTTGAAATAGATTATTATTTGTGACATACATATGATTACAGTTAAGAACACCCCTTCCCAAAAAGAAATCCTTATTTCTTGATTTGCAAAGGATTTTCTTAAATATTTTTACTTAATTCTTTAGCTTAATTCCACCAACAAGAGTCAGGGGCGTAGCTACCTCAGTCTAAATGAAGTGGAATCACAAACTAAAGGGCGAGGGGTCTGGGGGCCGCCTAAGGCCCCCAGTAGGTCCAGGGCAAAGCCCTGGTAGGGGGTCAAGGGGGCGACGCCCCCCGTAAGCCCCGCATATATAGCGTTTCAAAACAATCACAACCGTAATAAAACTTGGACATTTTTGGTGTGTTTTTTTGGTCAACTATTTGTTTAACTTCGAGTCGAATGAAGACTAAACATTGTCGTTTGCGTTTTTTGTACGCCGTGAAAGCTTTTAAAATCACGGAGATTAATTGTTCCATATGCTAGTATTTGTATTGAGCAAAGAAGTATAAAAAAACAAACAATAAACATAAACACAATACTATATGTGGAGTTTCTGTTAGCATAAACATCATTGGATACCAAATACTTTTGGTGGATACAATCTCCAATATTTTGCTTAACATATGTGTTTAGATGTTAAAAAATTTTGTGGGTAAACTCTACAAGAGAGAGAGAGATATGAATTTCTAATTTTACGCAGTTAGGAATTGTCGAAGTTGAAATTAATGACCTTTTTCAGAGGGAATGGTACTTGATCACGATCTTTTTCATGATCTGCGTTTGTTTATTATCCAGCTAATTAACAAATACAATGTACAAATGCATTCGACCAGTTGTATGGCAATATCTAGATGATAACAGTGAAGATACGTGTACATTAAAAGTTTGGTGTATCTTTCGAACAAGAATCAGCAGTTTATTGTCCGACTCGGACAGAAAATTCATTATAAAATTGAATGACCAAATATATATATATATACATAGGAAGATGTGGTATGAGTGCCAATGAGACAACTCTCCATCCAAGTTACAATTTTTAAAAGTAAACCATTATAGGTCAAGGTACGGCCTTCAACATGGAGCATTGGCTCACACCGAACAGCAAGCTATAAAGGGCCCCAAAAAATTACTAGTGTAAAACCATTCAAACGGAAAAACCAACGGTCTAATCTATATAAAAACGAGAAACGAGAAACACGTATGAACTACATAAACAGACGACAACTACTGTAATCAGAATCCTGACTTAGGACAGGTGCAAACATTTGCAGCGGGGTTAAACGTTTTAATGGTACCAAACCTTCTCCCTTTTCTGAAACAATAGTATAACATCACAGCATAGAAAAACACACTATAAAATATCAATTGGAAGGCTTAACTCAATCAAAAAACGTAAATTAACACACAATGAACGAATAAATTTGACCTGTGACACCTGAATGCAAATACACAGTTAATAAAAAATTACAAGTGATAAATAATTAAAGTCAAAAGTAAATAAACAGGTTTAAAGTATGATATCACTGAAATGTCAAACAATTTTTAGAAAATCATCACTTTTGAGTCCAGTAAAACGAGTTAGAATTAACAATTTATTTAAATGCTTTAACAATCAACCATTCGAATAGCCGACCCATATAGAAACGACTTCGAATTATCGAATCTATATACAAGATATTTTTTTGTAAAATAGATGAAAACGTAATACATGTACTGGAAAATATGTACTTTTTTTTATAATAAAAGCAGTTCCAACTTTTCATCTGCTAGTATACGGAAACTATTGATTGATTGAATGGTTATTAATGTCCGGTAGATAATATTAAATGCACACCAGGACAAGCATACGTTGACGTGATGTGAAAATGAACTATTCGTGTTGTCAAGACCTACATACTTAGTCAATTTTGAACTAGTTCACAAGGTAACAGTCATTATTCCCAGATTGATACGAGTTGAAGAGTTTTCGTTCTAGTAAGATGTGTGCTATGGGGCGAAGCGGAAAATAATAACTTGCAAGTTTTTTTTGTTAACTCTAAAGGGATAATGTTTTTTTTTGCACTCAAAGCGAGTCTACGTACGTTATGGTGGTGGTACCGACAACTATGTAGCTGGTATTTTCTTAACAATGCCCGTGATATAAAAAGTTTACACCGTTTGTATGTATTTATGGTACACATACATGTCTTACATGATTAAAAATTTCGCTGCATGTGTATTCCTCTTGCTTTTATTCTTTGTGTTGTTTTTAAAATGCATGCATAGAATGACCAATTCCTATATGTTAACTTTGCCCCCCCCCCCCCCCCCCCCCCCCCCCCCCCCCCCTTCTCTCTCTCTCTCTCTCTGTTTTTTTTTCTTTTTTTCTTTTTTTTTTTGTGTGAAAACGACGTGGATGCACGTGCTGCCGTGCCTCCGGGTAGCTACGCCCCTGAGAGTGCACCCTCTGAAATGTCTTGCCTACTTTATCTAATCATGATTGGATTAATGTTGAAAGTCTTTAAGATACAGGTTTTACTACAAGTATCACATCAAC